TACTCTTCACTTGATTTGACACTAACAGATTCCAGATTGTATAATGAATTTGAATGGTCAGTCTATGATGACCTGTGTGGAAGTGATCACTTTCCAACAATACTTTCACCTGTTCATCCAGCTGATGTTCCGCCTTTGTCACGATTTAATTTTACGAAGGCCAACTGGTCTTTGTTTGAAACGTTATGCAGAAGCACACTAAAAGCCGATTTATTTGTTAATGTTACTGACCCTATTCAATTGTATTCTGATGATATAACAAAAATTGCTGGTCAATGTATTCCAAAATCCTCTACAAATCCACATATACGGAAACCATGGTACACTGATGACTGTAAACAAGCTAGAAAAGCAAGGAAGAAGGCAGAAAAAATATTTCTGCAAACAGCCTACGGATCATAATTTAAACACATTTAAGATATCAAATGGTAAAGCCCATCGCATATTTAGGCAAACTAAAAGCCAATCTTGTCAAACCTATGTATCTAAAATTAATTCAAGAACTCCTATGTCCAAAGTTTGGAATATGGTGCAAAAAGTTGAAGGGAAAGGTTCAAGATCTAGTGTTCACCATCTAAAGGAAGGTGACACATTGCTTACGAATACATCTTATACACAGGAACTCGATATTGCTCTTTGTAAAAATATACGCCCCCTATACTACATAAAAGACAAGGAGCGTCACCCACCATAATGGAATGTTTGTTTACATTGTTGTGAAAACGATATCTCGGTTTCACAAACCTTGTTTTCTACTCACGTACAAGGGCTGTCAGTTCGTCAAGTCAGTCTAATATTCAATACTGCATTGATCTGGGTACTCGACCTGGTTTACTAACAACGATGGCTGACAACACTGCTGAAAGTGGGGTCTCCCGCGGTCAGCCACGGGACGACCTACTCGAACCTTTCCGAAGACCTCCGGAAACCTAGGATCACTACATCATCAAGGAATAAATACGATTCCTACCTTTAACCTTTTTGTCAGCGGATATTATCGTGATAGATATTCTCAAAGGACCTAAATAATTTATCCAAGTACATGAACCTGTCTTGTTTTCTGTTTTTTTAATGAGAAAATACCTTGTAAACTCGCGAGTCGGGTGACCCTGATCTTTTCGTTAGCGGAAGTATTTTACTGAAACGGGCTTAAATAGCAACGAGTTATCTGATTAGTCGAAAATAATTTCGCCTAAACAACATATAAAATGCGGGAATTTCGAAATACGTTTGCTTTTCACTGTCAACTTCACTGAAAACACAGAATGGCATCTGAAAACTATTTCACATGGTAAGTATGCTTTTTTTTAAAGAAAATTATCATCATTTACTACTTCAAGTATAAAGTAGTGACTGTCAAATATTTTATTCCACATATTCTTAACTGGTTAAATCCTCTCTGGTATATATCTAGCACAGGAACTCGATATTGCTCTTTGTAAAAATATACGACCCCTATACTACATCAAAGTCAACTCGATATTGCTCTTTGTAAAAATATACGACCACTATACTACATAAAAGTCTTTTATGTAGTATAGGGGGCGTATATTTTTACAAAGAGCAATATCGAGCTCCTGTGTGTCACCCTCCGCCATTTTACTATAAGAAAGACCGGTTGCTAAGCATCAAGGACAGTTAACTCTAATCCTCACTCGGCTGAGTTGGTGAGTGTTTCGGTGACCCAATCGCATGATATGGTAAATACAATCGAAACTATCGATATTCCTAACTGAAATCGATACTATTGATCGAAAACTGATTTAACAATCGATTTGTTGACTTTAAGTGCTTACCAATAGCAATATATCGATATTTCGATTTATCGTGACACCTCTAACCTCAGAACGAAGAACTGATATCATCTAAACATGTAATTTGTACACAGAGAATCGTTACATATCATTTCCTGTCTATTCATGCTTGAACAAGGAGCGGACATGTATGTTGTAATCGTTGCAACGGCTAACGTCACATCTTTCATCAAGTCAGCTCTATTTACATTAGCATTATTTTACATTATTCTCTTTAGAAGAAGCTGACAAGGGTTCCAGTTTGCTATTATTTCAAGGATAGCGTTGTGATGAGGAAATGGAGGACGCGAGAGGACTGCTGATAACGAATGAAAGGTTTTCCATCAAAGTGTTCTTCCAAATTCATATCGAAAGCATATTTTGAGTTTGACACATGAGTGAGTGAGTGAGTTAAAGTTTAACGTCACATCGGCATTATTTCAGCTATATCGTGACAAGAATAAGTACTATATACAAATTAAATATATGTAGATAGTATAAAAACCTGTCGTCGAAGGACAGTAAAATAACTAGATTTGTCACAGATTTGATTTAAAACGAGCAGATAATCATAAAAATATAACACCATACATAACAGTACACGATACAAATGTGCTGTTGATCGCCATCCACTGAAGGTAGATCACCATACTAGGGTCCATGGGGACTTACAGTGCCTTTGCTACCTACATGGACCCCAGCAGGATTTACACCATCCCTTCAGTCGCTGGCGATTGTTCTAAGTTTTAGGCACAATTAAAATGACCAACATTCTACGTCTAAAAGCGTAGTAGAAGTAAATATTCTTTGAATGACAGGGACTAACGATATCCTTTCAGGGGGACAATAATTTTACAGTACTTTAACCCCCTTCGAGGATCTTGCCATTGACAATCTCCGATAGATCATAATTCTACCAGTTCTAAAAAGCTATTTATTTATACAAAACATATTAACAAAACGTATGATACAATTTTATTTCTTTTAAAAAATCAATAATTAAATGAGAACTAATCGTAGTAAAAAGATCCTTTATTGATGAAACCTTGAAATATTTATCCCTTGTGATGGAAACAACAACACAATCAAGCAGGACATGTTTGACGGTGATTCTCTCATCACAAGAGATGCAGAACGGAAGATCCTCACCTTTACCCGATAGTTGGTTTAATTTGATGTAATGTATTGATACCTACTTGCGTGTCCCACTCCTTTTGCATACGAACTCTGATGTAACAGGTTTGTAATCACTGTAAGGAATGAGAAGTGGTGTCACAGATTTGTTGAGTGCTTCTTTAGTAGCAGCATCAGCCATTATGTTACCAATGATTCCAACGTGGCTGAGTAACCAACAAAAGACGATGTCAAATTGGCCAGTAGCAAGTTTATTATATAATTCAATAATTTGGATTAAAAGTAGATGTTTATATGATATATTTTTGATAGCCTGAAGACACGAAAGAAAGTCTGAAAAAAATACAAATTGCTTATGCTTAGATTGTTTACCAATATATTTTAGAGCTGTTAAAATGGCATGGGATTCGGCTGTGAAAATTGAACTATGATCTGGGGGTCGTGAAGACATAGTCCTGGATCCAATGACAGTGGCGCTGGCAACCGTGTCACCATTCTTGGATCCATCTGTGAATATAGTTTTGTAAGTTTTATATGTGTTCCGCAACTGATTAATTTCTTGTTGGTAGAGTGAGTGAGTGAGTGAGTGAGTGAGTGAATTAGTGAGTGAGTGAGTGAGTGAGTGAGTGAGTGAGTGAGTGAGTGAGTGAGTGAGTGAGTGAGTGAGTGAGTGAGTGAGTGATTGAGTGAGTGAGTATGGTTTTACGCCGCTTTTAGCAATATTCCAGCAATATCACGGCGGGGGAAACCAGAAATGGGCTTCACACATTGTACCCATGTCGGGAATCGAACCCGGGTCTTCGGCGTGACGAGCGAACGCTTTAACCACCAGGCTACCCGACCGCCCTCTTGTTGGTAAAATAGTTGGTTGGTTTCGGATTTCTTAAGTTAAGTTAATGACAGGTCAACCTCTGGCTGTAACAACTCAAAAGCTGAGTTGGAGCTATAGTTTTAAGATCAATATAAGCAGCAGAAATAGCAGGTTCGTAGACCGAGTGGAGGAATAAGGGACTGCTTTTTATGGTATATGACATCACAGAGAGGATGAAAAACGAAATCATATGCAGGATTACTTTGATTTGAATACAGTTTTGTAAGATATTGTAATGCGAGATTGATCCGACGTTGATTAAGCGATGGCTCATCAGCCTCCACATACAGACTTTGGACAGGTGATGTTTTGAATCCTCCAAGGCAAAGCCTCAGTCTTTGATGATGAATACTATCTAATAGTTTTAAATTACTTTTACAGGCTCCACCACAGATGATGGAGCCATAGTCAAGTTTAGAGCGGATAAGTGCTCTGTACAGTTGGAGGAGGGTTTTCTGATCCCCTCCCCACTTGAAATTTGAAACGACTTTCAGAAGATCAAGGGCCTTCCGGTATATATTTTTCAAATATTTTATGTGAGGTGAAAAGGTCAGATGGTGGTAAAAAATAATGACTAAGAACTTGGCTTCTCTTTACAACTTTAATAGGAGTGCTATCCAAAACTGGTTCTGGGTTTTTATGGGATTTGTATTTACTACAAAAATGTATGCAATTCAAACCAAACCAAACTAAAATCTTGTAAAAACTTTGAAGTATGGGGCTATGGCCTTTCAGTTTGCAATGAATAAACAATTTTGATATACAGGTACGTAACATAGCATGCTTCAAGTGAGCAGAGCTGCATTCAAGTCACCATGCGTCCCTTTTCCCTACACTTTGACTATGATTGGTTGGTTGGTTGGTTTGTTCTTTAACGCCGCACTTAGCAATATTCCAGCTATATGACGGCGGTCTGTAAATAATCGAGTCTGGACCAGACAATCCAGTGATTGACATCATGAACATCGATCCACGCAATTGGAATCGATGACATGCATCAACCAAGTCAGCGAGTCTGACCACCCGATCCCGTTAGTCGCCTCTTTCGACAAGCAGAGTCGCCCTTTTGATGTCACCAACCGTACCCATGGGCTTTCGGGGTAAGGGGTAAACCTTTACCACTGCAGTTATTACAAGGGTACGGTTAATGATCATTTTACCTTTCCGATACAACCAACAAATAAGGCGTGATATTAACTCTATACAATTTAAACCAATTTTATTTCCACAACACATACATATAGGTAGCTAAATTGCACATAAAGTGACATTAAAACAACTCACTTCCTTTATCATTGCAGTGTGAAAAGGCAATAAATGTAAACCAAACAAAGAACGAACACTGTTCTATGCCGCGCTGTGACTCATAATAGTGTCCACCATGTTTTCTATATATATCGTATGTAAGCTGGGTCATTGTCACTGTTTGTCTCGTATTTTCTCGTAGGCTCTCGCCACCTGGTAGATTGTAGTCTCGTCAAAATGGCGACCAACAATCATCATCCCAACCGGAAGTCCGTCGCTGAAGCCGGCGTTGATGGAGAGAGCAGGATGGCCGGTGCAGTCAAATGGCGAGGTGTTGGGGATCATGGAGAGGCTGACTTTCAGCAACTCTGGAAATGAATGTCATCCGTTGAAAGAGATAATCCCTTCAAATTTCAACAGCGGCCAAAAGTAATTGTAACTTCCTTAACCATTAAAGGAACTATCTGTTGTGAACCCAAAACAGGGACAGTAAAATGTCATGGTCCAACGAACTTGTGTGCTACAAGCTGACTATGACAGTTCGTTTTTGTGTATTTATGTGTATTTCTCCATTCGTTGAAAAATATGTTAGTTTCGATAGAGTGACAAGGATATTGTTTCCATTGTTTATAATAGATCTACGCTGTTTGGTTATATATTGTTGATGATTGTAAATAGAATGTTTAAACCGCTATCGGCATCGGTCGCATGCATGGAATCGGTACCGGTTTTTGACTTGGAATCGATAACTAAAGATTAATTTCGGTGAATATTTTCGTATTTGGAAGAGAGAGTTTAAGGTTGATTAGGACAGATAGTGTTTGCCCATTTGACTACATGAACTTTTCTTACAGGTCGCACTGTAGCCCAATTAGTGTGTCATTACGAACAGAATGGGAACGCGTGAATGATGGACACCTGCATCTGCAGTTCCTTGCTGAATTACGTCAATGATTTACCTGCAGGAGTTGCGTCTTTTCCGGGTAGTTTCGATGCCTTGTATGGTAAGGTGGGCATTACAATGACGTCATACTTTTCAAGAACACGGTCGTACTCAGACGTGAGCATCATGTTGAGGTTCTGCCCCTTGGCATAGAACTTATTCTGATAATTTCTGTTGATATACTCCGAGATGAGAGATACTGTCTTCATGACAACTGACATATCGTGGGGCCGAGCAGCGAAACCCCGATAAGCGGCCTCCTGCATCGATATTGGGTAGAATCCTTTCCAGAAGAAGCCAGTTCCTGGAAACAAGGAATCATATATTTCCTTAGTGGGACGATTGTGACTGTTACAGAAAACTGATGTACCTTAATTGACGCCATAAATGCACACTTCCCTCTTTCTTATCATATTGCAAGATGTGAACGTAAAGCCCATCTCAGAAGATTGATACGAAATTAAAAGTGGAAACAGTTTACCGTTGTAAAGAAACCAGTTTAACTGATGTTATGAATAGAGTCTGGACCAGACAATCTCGTGATTAACATCGTGCCCATGGATCCATGCACTTTGGATACGCTGGAATGCATCAACAAAGGCAGCGTGCCTGGCCACCCGATCCCGTTAGTCGCTTCCCACGATAAGCGTAGTCGCCTTTTACGATAAGCATGGTTGCTGGAGACCTATTCTATCCCGGAATCTTCACATGACAACTGTGTTAGGAAGGTATGTGGCACCTAATTTCCTATTTACACCTGGCACGCCATGGGTGGTCCATTAATGAGTGCAAACAATATCTCTTTATATATATGAAGCATACATGCTATACATACATTAATACATGAATATCAAACAATATATACCATTGCCCTTCACCATGCAATTGTAGGCGCCTTGCAGACAGATAGCGTTCCAGATGGCAGGACCTGAAAGATTGCATGTAAGACGTGTGAGCGGCAAAGTGTTTGTCCGTATTGGAGACCTGCATGGCCGTCTGCCTCTGAGGAACGGACAGGTCATAATTAAATATGAAGGTAATCTCGTGATACTGACCAGACACCAATCCGGAAGTGAACAATTAGTCTGGACTATTCGTCAGTTTTACTTTACATCGCGATGAACCTATAGTTATATGGAAAGAAAATGCAATAATTACGATACTGTCAGCATTCTATGAACGTGGTGTTACCATCCAGGGTTTGTGAGTGAGTTTGGTTTCACGCTGCTTTTAACAATATTCCAGCAATATCACGGTGAGGGACACCAGCAATTGGCTTCACAAATTTAACCCATGTGGGGAATCGATCATGGGTCTTCGGCGTGACGAGTGAACGCTTTAACCACAAGACTACTCCACCGCCGCCTTACCATCCCGATGTATGGGCAGTGATACCTCCTCCACCTCCGCCCCTGCTTCCTTCAGTCTATCCGTTTCTCTCCTCACTATCTCCACGACGTCAGGCTCCGTGCACACGTCAAACCCTTCCTTCAGCACGCCGATCTTCTTGCCGGAGATGCTCGCATTTACCTTGTATTGAGAATAAACATGACACTGAAGTCAACATTTCAGCAATATCCCATCCCGTGAACTGATAAGGCATGGGTCTGTCAGACCTATCGTCGATCGTAACTACAACGTTGTGATTCGAACAATCTGGATGTTGTATTGTGGATCAGGGTGATGTTGTAAAAAGCGATCTTGGCGCTAAGGTGATCGTTACCCCCATACCTTAACATGGACTTACGGCAGTCATAGCGCTAAGGTTGATTTGTATATTGGCACCCATGCCACATATCAACACTTAAGCCTCTCTAAGATTATGATTAGGAGTACCGATAGTCGTATCACTATGGGAGAGCCCAACGTGGTATAGATGTGGCTAATGTCAGCATTGGGGAACACAATGTTTCGTTAGGTGAGTGTATCCAGATACTCGAGACTAGAGTAAGTGAGTGAGTGAGTTGTGTTTAACGCCGCTTTTAACAGTATTCCAGTCATATCACGGCGTGTCAACTTAATGTGGGAGGAAAGCCTGAAGTGATGCAGGTCTCAGACGTTTACCACTTCGATGGAATCAACGAGTACGGCATGGTGCTGACAAACCTAGAAACATAATCGGGGCGAACGGGAATTCGAACCCACAATCATAGGTTTCTAGCGTGCCCAAGGGATGCGATTCTGCACAGCAAATCGCGGCACCTTAGACGACTGGGTAACCTGTGTCCCCTCGAGTCTAGAGACGTTCATTGCGAAGCAATAGCAAGGACGGTGGCTGCATCCGTTTCCATATCTGTACTTACAGACTTCTGGTTTGATATATTTTGCTTTTGGCCGCAATATGTCCGACATTTTACCTTTTTTCGTTTAGTCGCTGTTTCATACCATTATGGCAGGCCAGACATATTCCAAACAAGCGAGTCGTCTAATAGCTAGAGTAGTTTCCCTTTTACGAAGGACAATTACTCTAGCGAGTTGACCAGTGGTTTGCCGCAAAAGGCGATCAAGGACAGAAGTGAAAACTTCACGTGTAGGCAATTTTCTTTTTGCTTATATATATAGTTACGCCACTGTGGAAAAAACAAGCTTCTGTTGGAACAATATTGACTATTGTTACTGTTCGAGTAACTGGTCACTTACCTTACGTATTTTATATGACATTATATGATTATAGCGCCTCTGTTTTGGAATGGTAATAGGCTCTATTAGAAATAATTGCTATGCACTCAAAGCTCAAAGGCTCGCTCAACACAGTGTTTATTCCTAATACCTGATATTTACCATCCCCAAACTGTATCTCCTGAGGCCGACCGGCAACACACTTACCTGGTCGCTGTAGGGCGGGACTTTGAGGCCGACCGACAACACACTAACCTGGTCGCTGTAGGGCGGGACTTTGAGGCCGACCGACAACACACTAACCTGGTCGCTGTAGAGCAGGACTTTGAGGCCGACCGACAACACACTAACCTGGTCGCTGTAGGGCGGGACTTTGAGGCCGACCGACAACACACTAACCTGGTCGCTGTAGGGCGGGACTTTGAGGCCGACCGACAACACACTCACCTGGTCGCTGTAGGGCGGGACTTTGAGGCCGACCGACAACACACTAACCTGGTCGCTGTAGGGAGGGACTTTGAGGCTGACCGACAACACACTAACCTGGTCGCTGTAGGGCGGGACTTTGAGGCCGACCGACAACACACTCACCTGGTCGCTGTAGGGAGGGACTTTGAGGCTGACCGACAACACACTAACCTGGTCGCTGTAGGGCGGGTCTTTGAGGCCGACCGACAACACACTCACCTGGTCGCTGTAGGGCGGGACTTTGAGGCTGACCGACAACACACTCACCTGGTCGCTGTAGGGCGGGACTTTGAGGCCGACTGACATCACACTCTCCGGGTCACTGAATGGTGGGACTTTGAGGCCAACCGACAACACTCTGACCTGGTCGCTGTAGGCGGGACTTTGAGGCAGACCGACAACACACTCACCTGGTGGCTGTAGGGCGTGACTTTGAGGCCGACCGACACCACACTCACCTGGTCGCTGTAGGGCGGGACTTTGAGGCCGACCAACAACACACTCTCATGCTCACTGTAGGGTGTGACTTTGAGGCCGACCGACAACATACTCACCTGGTCGCTGTTGGGCGGGACTTTGAGGCCGACCGACAACACACTCACCTGGTCGCTGTAGGGAGGGACTTTGAGGCCGACCGACAACACACTCACCTGGTCGCTGTTGGGTGGGACTTTGAGGCCGACCGACAACACACTCACCTGGTCGCTGTAGGGAGGGACTTTGAGGCCGACTGACAACACACTCACCTGGTCGCTGTAGGGCGGGACTTTGAGGCCGACCGACAACACACTCACCTGGTCGCTGTAGGGAGGGACTTTGAGGCCGACTGGCTGTCTGGGGTCCCTACCTCCATCATATCCCGCTATCACCTACAATTACAGGTATAAAAAACGTTACTTTCTCCATGACAACTTCAGGCTAGTCAACGAAAATGCTGAGAATTTACATGTTTTCTCTTCGGATCCCGTGTATTACCATGAAATATGAGGACCGTAGTAGCCGTGCATTCGCCAATTAATTCTTTATATATATTGTTTGGGCGTTTTCTTATGATAGGTTGTAAGATTATACGAATCCCGCCCACCTCTAGCAATAAGGCGTTGTCTTCGACAGTTCTTGTCATTGGTCCAAGATGGTCCAGCGTCGTCTCGAGAGACATGGCTCCGGTGTAAGGTACCAGTCCATATGTGGGCTTCAATCCCACAATGCCACACCAGCTGGCTGGTATCCGGATGGAGCCGCCCTGGTCTCCTCCTATGGCGAGGTCAACAAGGCCCTTAGACACCTGTCGGGAGATGAACACATGGTTCTGAGTGATACATATTGAAACCGGACACTCCTGAAGCGCTCGTAAAATCTCCATCTTCATGAACAACATATTGTTCCGACAAAGAAATCCGAGAGCTATTAATTCGTAGTGATGCAAAAATAATGTCACGACAAAACACACACACTAATACACAACAAAGAAGCGAGAACATGGTTTCCTGAAGTTCAGAAAAGTGATATTTTCATTGCAGTGAACATACCACTTGATGTTTCACTGCAGTGACCATAACATTTCAAGGAACTATTGTCATACAAGAGTTACCTCCCTTAAACACAAACTGTTGACTTCCTTTCTCCGTTAGTTCCACATTGACAAGGCAAATTAATGACAGATGATCATAAATGGAATTAATATCGCTTCTTGTCATTTGTTTTTCTCTTGTAAATGTTTCGAAATAAACTGTTGATTTCGGAATTAACTCGTTTCGTTTCGCAAAGCGCCATTTTTGGTACTTAACAACTAGGTAACAACAGCGTGCTCGTAGATTTCTAGAATATTTGTGTTGTAGGTGATTTTTCTATATAATCATATCCAAATGTTTAATAAAGAATATTAGTGACCTCAAATAGTTTTTGTTACTTTTGTGAATAATTGTTCCAGATTTTGCAAACACAGAACTACTTTTTAAGTCGCAAATACAAGGGGTGGTGATACGTCCGTCGGTGCTAGGTAGGGAGAATTTACGTTTGAAGGATTTAAATTTGTAATAAAATAATTTAATCATGTGCTTAGTGAAATATCCTCTGCGTATTCCTTTCGGGTTTAACATCACAAAGAGAGCTTAGCGCCACGACGGAATATAATATGCATTGCTCAGGTTTCAGGTATAGGAGCCCTAGTGATACGACTCCCTAGTAACCTAGTCGGGCTGTCCACGTTAGAACTATTGTTCAATTCATGAACACTTTGAAGTGACGAAATAACATGTTTTCCACATTCGTCAATTAAAGGCGGAGCTCTGTATCCAAGCATCGTCCCCCAGGCAAGGGAGATAACTTACTATAAAAGTCCGGTTTCCATCCTTGCCGAACTAGGCTGAAATTTCGGAGTCATATCTTGTCTGGACAAACGAGTCTATGTATAGTCTAATCGAAATCGCGTGACAAAAGTACCATCCTGTTCGTAAAGAACGATGCGATTTTCGTGCATTTTTCTGTCCATTGCAGGATTTGCAAAACATGTCTTTGTCAAGTGGCCGTCTACAGATATTTTCTGAATCGTTTCGTGTATTTAATCAACTAGCTCCAGTGCCGTGTTACGATCCACTCGCGATGGATGTCCGTGAGGCAGGGCATGACAAACGTTCCTGTGATTAACTTTATCAGATCGTCTTCACTGGGCACCGCCATCTTGTTTGTAGGTGGAATCTAATTGGTCAATAGGAAGTACAAAGAAGGGGCATAGCTCGTGATAGCCAATAGTGGCGCTGCGTTCGAGCCATGACACTCTGGCCTAGTTCGTCAAGGGTGAAAATTGGACTTTATAGTCAGTTATCTCCCTTGTCTCGGGAAGACGTATCCCAGGATGCTGTTCAACTGTACACACCAGTGCTGCACTTCCGCCGCTTGACCCGCCTGTAGTCCTGGTCTCATCATACGGGTTCCTGACAGGGCCACTCGCGCACGTGAAGCTACTTCCGCTGACGCACTGGTTCTCAACGGACGTTTTGCCAATGATACGACCCCCTGTTGGGAAATGTTGCATGGTCAAGTTGCTTCAAGTTTCGTGAGATAATCGTGGTTAATCGAGACTGACTGTCCTTTTTATCTGGCGTTGACGTTTTCTATTATAGTGTTAATGTGGTTCCTATTCCTTTACCTGCATCGAGGATCCGTGTTACCAAAGTGGCATCGAACTCAGGTGTGTACCCTTCCATGAGAGCTGCACCGACGCCCATGGGGACTCCAGCCACAGCGACGCAGTCCTTGATGCCGACTGTTTTACCTGCCAGCTTGCCCTTGTCGGCGCCTTTGATATCACAACGACGATACCTACATACATGTTTAATATACGAAATGCAGAGAGTGCTTTTTTGATGAAACAAAGGGTATCGGCGTCATGGATTTCATACGGTATCACCATGTGACCTATTTGTCAAAAGGAAATCCTGCACTTCAAAATGAAAGGTACTTGTCATGTAAACTGAGGGGAAACTTGAAAGAACTGTTGGTAAAATTGATTATGCCTCTTTCACCATCAAAAAGTAGTCAGTGGGTGGGTTATTTTGGGTAAAAATATACTGGTTCAAGACTGTCGTTAGAAATGAATTTAAAACCACATGACCCCACCGTGTTTAAAATGTTGTAAGTTATTGATTTTCAAAGAAAAGATTTCTATATCAATCAGCAGTTGTATATTATGCCATTGTTTTATAATTTCTAAAAAACTTTATATGAAACTATATTTTTTAAAAAGAACCACGTAGAAGTAATCTTTAAGTGCTGATTAAGTGCAAATACAGTTCATGTTTTATGTAATCTCTCTCACTTAAATATTTTCATTTGAACTTCAAATTTATGATACGCCGTGATATAACTGGAATACTGTTAAAAGCGGCGTTAAACCCAATTCACTCACTCACTCACTCAAACTTATGATAAAAACAGCTGAGAGGTATAGTCTCTTATGCCCCTCAGTATATTTACGGAAATAAGTAAAATCGTTATTGTAAAATGAATATAAATACATTTTTCTAAAATAAAATTAGGAAAATGTTATCTTTTTATGCATACAAAATTTTAAAAATACATTGTTGTTAAATTAAAGGTACATATTATATATTTAAGAATATAAATACATTCGTCGTCGTGACCCGCAAACTTGGGTAGGTCAGGTGATCACATGTCACATGTACGTCTTTCATATAGTGATGTACATGCATCTGAGAAGGTGTATGCCCACAATATCTCAGTTCTGGGAATAACAAAGTGAGGATTGTTTTACGCCGCTTTCATGAATATTCCAGCAATATTACGACGGGATAACCAGAAATGGACTTCACACATTGTGGGAAAACGAATCCGGATCTTCGGCGTGACGTGTGAACACTTTGACCACTTGGCTACCCCACCGCCCCTGTGTGAATAGGCTGAAGCGACGCCTGTTATTACGACTTAAAACAAACAAATATTATAACTGAGATTACGCGACGACTTCCTTCAGTGTCTGCAAGGGTGATCAACAAGCTCCTTCCCAGCGCGTGACACCCTCGTTTTCACTCTCGGTATAGTATAGAGAGCTCCGGGAACGTACTATCGCTGTGAGGAGCTTGGGTGACCAATGTACAAGGGAGATCACTCTACAAGGGAGATCACTTACCACGCATTATAGGGATTGTCAGCCTGAGCCGGTTTGTAGCCCGGGGTTCGAGGATAATTTACCGGAAGTGAAGGTTCCTGTAGTTGGCATATCCTCGTTAACCCATCAGCTGTAACCTTGAACTGACCTTCAAAGAAACAAAGTGATGAATATTAGTGAGAAGTTAACACTTAACGCAACAGAGGCAATACTATCCCCATGTGGAGACTGAAGTCTCGTTAACAGCTGTCAACATTGACGTTAAGAGAGGTTGACATAACATGTATATAATTGTATGTTATTCAACGTCACACTACTTTATTTGTTTGCTGTTTAACGCCTCACTGCATATTCCAGGTATAATGGTCTATACAAAATTAGTCTTGACGAGACAGTCCAGTGATTGATATCGTGCGCATCGATCCACGTGAGTGGGATACGATGACCTGCATCACCGAGCCTGACCACCTGATACCTTTCATCGCCTCTTAGGTGGTGCAGGTCTCAGATATTTACCGCTTCGGTGAAACCCACGAGCACGGGCATGGTGCTGACAAACCTAGAAACATAATCAGGGCGAACTGGGATTCGAACCCACAATCGTAGGTTTCCGGCTTGCCTAAGGGACGCAACTCTGCACAGCGAATCGCGGCACCTTACACGACTGGGCCACCCGTGCCCCCAAACACTTTTGTGACACTATCAAGCACGTGTTTGATGATCGACAGTTGGCTTCCAGTTCCTCTGTGGAACATTTCAGTCTGAGGTCCTCAGATAGTTGCTGAAGCTCCTCGACAGACGGACAGCAGACGGCCGGGGAGTGGAATAAGTCTGTAGGAAGATAGTAGAAAATAAGAGCTGGAATATTGAGTTTGGTGTAAAACAAACAAACAAAGTGAATAAGATCAACAAACATCATAACACATGTGGGGTGCACGGTGTCCCATTCGTCTAAGGCGCCGTAGATCCACGCAATTGGGATACGATGACATGCATCAACCAAGTCAGCAAGCCAGACCACCCGATCTTACGACAAGCATAGTCGCCATTTACGGCAAGCATGACATCATGTCTGAGAATGTATCACTCCGGCTCTGCCAAATTAAGCTGTCACACCATGATATAACTGGAATAATGTCCGACACGGCGTTAAACCCAACTCTCTCACTCAAAGCTGCCTTTAATCCAAGTCACTCACTCACTCACAAGACATATACGTCCTGTTTCGTCAGACATGTTAACGCATGTCAGACACTTATGCTAACAGTCTGCGGAATCACAGTGTCAGTTACCCTAGACTGGTGGCCAAACTTTGGTTGCTGGTGATCTCGAGCCCATTTTTGTTTGTATTGTCATGAAAAGTCCAAATCTACGTTTGTAATAATCTTGTTGTTTTGCTGTCCTTTGTGTACAGGTTTTAAAGTCTAGATATGTGTACCATTAATATAGTCACGATATGGCTGCAATATTACCGACGTGAGAATAAAAAATAACTCACTCACCCACTTACTCACTCGACCGCCTCCGTGGTCAGAGGTAGAGCGTCCGCCCGGGGAGCGGAAGGTCCGGGGTTCAATCCCCTGCCGCGTCATACGAAGAGACGTTAAAAGATGGTACTTGTTTTTACCCTGACTAGCGCTCGGCGTTAAAGGGCTAAAACAAGGACTGGTCGGCTCGGAGTCAGTATACTGTGTCTTAGTGGGGTATTCATGTTTAACTGCGGCATGGTATCTCAGTGAGCTAGCACTATAAATCGGCATCAGTCCGGACAAGTACAAGCAGCCACACACACGCTCGTGCATGTACGTCGCTATATAAGTGCAATAATCTTGGACTCACTCACTCACTCACAAGTCAAATACTTTTCACATAGATTGTCGAACTGCCCCAGGGACAAAGGTGCACAATCACATGCTGACCTTCACCCAGAAAGGTCACACCTCTACTGGACCACAAAGCTGCAAATAGCTACGTCTAATAATCTCTACATGAACATGATAATGTCATAAAGCAGAAGAAGAATGATCAAGTTGAACAGTTGAACTGTGAGGTGGAAACGTGTTTTTAGGAAATACACGCGGTGAAACTCTTTGAATAACACATACCATTCACAGTTGATCTGGATCGCTGCTAAAAACATATTTAGCAGATCCTGCTGTAGCTAACAGAAATAGGACTTGGAGATAGTTGAGAAGACTAACTAAATATATAGGATTCGTTGGGTACAATGGTTTTGTGTGCATAGACGAATCTGGAGGCCACGTATCGACAGTATATGCAAACCAGGCAGATTCGGATATAACGAACACTGAATTTATTTCGGTTTATTTGTCATTTGGCCATTCATCACTCGTCACCTCAATTACCACTCGAATGGGATTGGAAAGGCATTCGCAACGTCTCATTTCGTCATATGGAGTTAACATAAACAAACTAACGCCCCGCTTGAAACACTCTCCTAAGTTGACAGACGATTGTATAACAACATTCCTGTACGTATGTATGCTATCCCTCCATGGACCGCCTCCGTGGTCTAGTGGTAGAGCGTCCGCCCGGAGAGCAGAAGGTCCGGGGATCGATCCCCTGCCGCGTCATACCAAAAGACGTTAAAAGATGGTACTTGTTGTTACCCTGTCTGGCGCTCGGCATTAAGGGGCTAAAACAAGGACTGGTCGGCTGGGAGTCAATATACTGTGTCTGAGTGGAGTATTCATGTTAAACTGCGGCATGGTATCTCAGTGGGCTAGCACTATAAATCGGCATCAGTCCGCACTAGTACAACAGCCACACACACACACACGTGCATACACGTCGCTATATAAGTGCAATAATCTTGGACGCGACGTAAAACCCAATTTCACCTCACCCACCCCTCCATGAGTGGCCAAGGTGCAGGGGCTATGGTCACTGAGGCATACGGGCAAGCGGTCAAGCGGTCACGGGAAGGTCAGTCTCCACACAGCCGGGTCAGTTACCAGTCACTGTGGTCTTGCGGGAAAAGTGGGTCGTACAGGGTTTGGAGTGGTATTTCTTTTTTTGCAGAATGTATTTCACTTAAGGTGGCACGATTTTACAACAGACTCTCAGGACAACGTGGCTTGTCTAACGGGTCGTAGTATGTGCAGGCTTAGTGGACATTACTGGGGCAGAGATTCTGATATTCACTCTATCGTTACATGGCCCATTTCCTGATGTTTGTTTATAATTTGTACATGAAACTCTAGCTCCTTAATGTAGCAGGAAAAGTACAAATCGTTTCAATAATTTCACATTTATACACATAATATTTTGACTGAAGAAGAAGATAACTGGTAACGTTTCGTTGGTGGACACACTCTTTTTCACCCCAAAAAGCATTTATCTGTGTAACTTTTAAAATAAATATAATTTCATTATATTCATTTTCATCCATTTCAAAAAACTGACCTAATGGAGTGGTATTTCAGTGATATATACAGCGTGAAGCTCAGACAGGTCGTAGACGTTTGATTCCAAAATTTTCGAGCACTTAAAAGGCACATATCCCGTAGGGATTCCGGGTTAAAATGGTTCCCAGCAACATTTGCTTGTCGTGTGAGGGGACAACAGTGAGTGAGTGAGTGAGTTGGGTTCAACGCCGCTTTTAACAGACTGAGTATTCCAGTTATATCACGGCGTGTCAGCTTAATGTGGGAGGAAAGCCCGAAGTGATGCAGGTCTAAGACGTTTACCACTTCGGTGAAACCCACGAGCACGGGTATGGTGCCCGCAAACCTAGAAACATAATTGGGGCGAACCGGGATTCGAACCCACAATCATAGGTTTCTGGCGTGCCCAAGGGACGCAACTCTGCATAGCGAATCGCGGCGCCTTAGACGACTGGCCACCCGTGCCCCCGAGGGGACAACATGGATTGGGCGGTCAAGATCGCTGACATGATTGATTGTATGTCATCATATACAAATTGCGTTGATCGATGCTCATAGTGTCGATCACTGGACTTTCTGGTCCAGGCTCGATTATTTACAATTTTCCATATAACTGGAATGCAGCGTTAGCAACAATTAATCAATCGATCAAAGGGGCGCAGATCTGGACAGATAATTACAAGGTCGTATAACACGTCATACCTAAACTCTTTATGTCTACCTATTGAATCGGAGACCGATTAAACATGGAGCAGATAATTAGGATGTGATGAGTATCAGTCATTTGTTGATAAATAGTAAGCGTCTAAATTTCGTACTAATTATATGGCTATAAGCACACTATAATATTGATTATAATAGTTGCCGTACAGTATATGCCCTGTCAATACACATCCATATCTAAACACCTAGCTGTATAAAACCCCTGTAACGTGTGCATATTAAACATACATGTATAACGCTGTTTCAAGTGATTTGAATGAGTGGGAAAATACAATACACATGTAATTAATACTGCGCCAAGAAAAGAATTCAGCGGTCGTTGTGGTGGTTTATCAAACTATATGCTTATGCATGTAACAGCGCTACGGAAACTCTAGAAGCTGGAAGAGCCGTGATACCACCTACCTGTTGCCTCCGCCATTGCTGAATGTTTCAAGGTGAAGGTCAGACGGTTTTGGCTGCGTAGGGATCGGGGATGTAGGGCAGGTGATGGTGTGTCGGAGTGAATATGAGGTCTCAATGTTTGGTCTTGCTTCTATTGACAGGAGGGGATATTTCGTTGTTTATAAAACTGACAAAAACATTCATATAATTATAAATTATACTTTTAAAAATAGAAACGCAATACGCATATTTGTGGCCATAAAAGCGAAATTAGAGGATCAAGAGGTCCAAAATAAAGAGGTAATAGTGTCGGTGACAAATCTCACGGAAAAAAATGATCACAACAAAGAAATGCAATCCATTAGTAGGGAAACACGTATGATTCGGAAAAACACACCAAGTGCATTAACACAATGGCAATGAAGCTGCATGTACTGCACGTGCAAAAAAAGTGCAGGGTTTTTGATTGCCTGGCATCTGCGTCAATCGAACAGTGACAGTTCAACAACATGTCAAGATTAACAGAAGTGCAAAGAAACAAGATCGTAGACCGCTTGCAGGCAGGGGAATCCCGATCAGCTGTAGCCAGGGTTTTCAATGTAGCGCCCACCACCACCTCGAGGCCATGGGATTGGTTTCAAAAGCATGGTTCAACACGTGATCGGCCAAGGTCGGGACGACTAAGAGCAACCACCCCTGCCCAAGATTGCTACATCCGACTGCGCCACCTACGTGACAGGACGACCAGTCTCCTCAACTGCATGCCAAATACCGTTTACAAGCAGCAGGTCTACGAGCAAGACGTCCTGTTCGACGTGTCATATTGAGTCGACAACGTCGTCAACAACGACTACATTGGTGTCGTCAACACAGGATATGGCCTCAACTGTGACGAAATGGCGATATGCAGGCAATAACAAATAGCTTCGTAATGTGTTGCGTCTGATCTTGCATACAAGAGACAGTGCCGAGATTGACAAA